AGAGAGAGACAGGGAGAAGGGGGAAAAAGAGACAGAGGGGAAGAGAGAGATACACAAGGGGAGGGGGGAAAGAGGCAGAGGGGGAAGAGAGTGACTGGGAAGGAGAGGGGAGACATGGACACAGAGGAGCAGTGAGGGGGAGAAAGAAACATATATATATATATATATATGACTGGTGGATCCAGGGGGGGCAACGGGCAATTGCCCTTTCCCCCCCAGATGCTCTCCCCTGCTGGCCAATGCAAGGCTGGCACTGTCCAAGCACCATGTGCCTTTACGGACCGGAGGGGAGATCAGAGATCTCCCTCCCTGTTCTGGAGGCACCATGCAGGCAGCCGGCAGGGGAGGGAGGAAGAGAGGACCCGGGAGCTCAGCCTGCAGCTCCTCCGGGTCCTTCTTGCGCGAGTACAGAGCGCTGCCGCGGTTACAGTGGCAACGCTCCAGCTCTCGCGAGAGTGAACTCTAGCGCTGGAGCTACGGGCTAGAGTTCACTCTCACCACTGCGACCTCTAGCCCCGTACACACACCGGGCCCCCCCATACACACATTGCCACACATACCCTACTACAGCCCCATATCCCAGCAGACCTCAGGTAAGTTGTCAAACGGTTTGACTACTTACTCTGGGAGTGGGTCCCGGCACTCCTGGCACCAAACCACTACACAGAGCAGTAGTGGTTATTGTGCATGGATTATTTCTTTAAATCTATAAGTGCCCCTCCCGAGATCAGGCTCTGGATCCGCCACTGGTGTGTGTGTGTTTGTGTATATATATATATATATATATATATATATATATATATCATGTATATTAATGTGTGTATTAGTTATATATATATATATAATTATGCCTTTTATATTTACACATATATTAATGTACATATATATATATATATATATATATACGTAATACACAGAGAAATGTAATTGATATATACCATATGTAATGAGCAGATATTAGCCCAGTCTTGTTGCTAGGTGCATACTCCAACACAATAACATATTTAAAGTGAAGAGCGCACCCACAGGACTTCAAAATTAACAAAACACCGTCATTTTTTACAGTTGTGCCCTACATACATTCACCATTTCAGTCCCATCACCAAGCTTTTCTTAATATGTCAAGGTAGTTGGACTGAAACATTGGTTATATGCAAAGGCACGTCTGCTTAAAATAAATCTGCACTCTTGTTTTTTTTTAAGCCTATATGTGCTTTTTTTCACGTTGGAGTAATAATTTTTAATCTTAAATTATCTTTTCTAACGCTGTATTTGCACACTATGCTGGCGTGACGCATTATGGGGCTGGTAAATAATTTTTTTCCAGGGCTGCTTTTAATTCCCAGTCCGGCCCTGCCCTTCTAACACTATTTATAGGGACAGCTTTGTGATTTGGCATATGAGTAGGATTAAGGGGAGTTTTATTATAAAAGAAAGGATTTAGACTGGGATTAAGATTACTTTGCAACAACCTTGTTGTACTTGTATTCAGGAGATGTTGCTGAGCATAGTCAATATATTTTTATTTATAATGGAAGACATGAGATTTTAATAAAAGCATAAAAATACAATGTGTATTAAAACATTGAAAAATTAATAACACAAACACTAAAGAAAAGGGTGAAAAAATTGCACCTCAACAAAGGTCAGAATATATCATGTGATAGTCCTCATGTAGTGATGTCGTGAACTTTTCGCGAACAGTTCGCCACGAACCGTTAACCACGAACTCATCCCGGCCAATCTGCAGCAGACCCTCCCTCCCTCCCACCTCCTGGACGGCATCCATGTTGAAGCTGCCTTCAACATGGATGCTGTCCAGGAGGTGGGAGGGTCTGCTGCAGATTGGCCGGGATGTGTCAGCTGACCGGAGTTCGCAGCGAACCGTTCGCGAACAGTGTGCGACATCACTATCCCCATGGTGTCCACTTTTGCAAATGGTATACATTTATGGAGTAATTTAAATATGTTAGCTACTAAAATGTCCCAAATGGCATCACAGGTCCATCTTCAATTTGACATTTAAAAAACAAAAACAAAAAAACCCCTGCAATTGGCAGTTTAACAATTCAGCTCTGTATTTTCTCAAAAACTTGACAAGGTAATGAAGGGAATCATTATGTACTCATGAGATATAACTAACCACAGATGGGTGATTTGTATTAAAGTAGCACATATCAAGCTTGCAAAATAAACTGCTAAATTGCAATGTGAACGTAAACAATGCCATAAAAATACAATAACTTTGAAAGATATTGGTGCTAAAATGGCTGTATAATAATGATCAAAATATACCAAACATACCCCATGGTGTTTATTTTCACAAATGTGGTAATTTGAACTGTGAAACTGCTGCAATGCCTCAAAAATGCAGAATAAGCCCATCAAATTTATCTATAAAAATTCATTGCAAGACTGAAATAATCAGGTATCTTACATGAAAGAAAAAGAATCCAAGAGGTAGGTGTAATGGGAGGAAGAGCGGAGGTCCGGCTCCCAAAAGACCAACAACGGGTGTGCCCATGAAATGGAGTAAATAACTCAGAAATATGGGTATTATAGATGTCAATAGTTAAAAGTTGTGACAAAATGCCTATTGTCACTGGATTTTTAGGTGACAAGCTGCCCTTTGCCCCTGACTGTTGGAGGAGCCTGAGTGCCAGCCTCCTGCCTCATGACTATGACCCTGGGTTGTATGGCCCTTTACAAACATTATTTGGGCTAATGGATTTATATTGTGCTGCTGCTGGCCCTTTAAGAACTGCATTGCGGTTTATGGACTTGTATTGGACCATGTTGGCCTTTTAAGAACCGTCTGGCGATATATTGAGATTTTGTGTGATAATGCCCCTTTAACCCCTTAAGGACACATGACATGTGTGACATGTCATGATTCCCTTTTATTCCAGAAGTTTGGTCCTTAAGGGGTTAAGACTATGTCCCCAGACCTTTAAAATACTTTGTCTATGGCTTTCTACCACTTGGTTCAGTAAATAGAGCTTACTGAACCAAGTACCACACAGGCAGACCACCCAGAAGTGGAAGTGTGCAGGCAATTTACCTCCCAGGCTGGGAGCCTGCTGTAGATAAATTGCTGACCGCTGGGTGGCCGCAGTTTGTGCAAACCAACACGTGGCGGTGGCCATCTTTGTTCATTCGAACGAGCTCAACGGTATGTGTAGCCAAATTCATGGAACTGAAATCGGCTACACATTTTCACAAACACCGCTGACCCTTACCTTCTCCTACACTCCGTTTTCAGCTACAGAGACTAAGTCCCGTTCGGCAGTTTGAACTCACTGTTATACTGAGCCAAATGCACAAACGTGCATTCGAATGGGACTTAGTCATTTTTCTGCATAAAATTGACCGGCCGAACAGCCCAAATCTATGGAACTGTTTTGGGCAGGAAAATGTGCTTGCGGTCGGTCATAAAGGACTTCCGTCTAACTTTATATCTACTGGATGGATTTGTCTTATTTGTGAGAGTGTTTATATTTAAAGTGTGCTGATTCTGAATATGTATTTTTATGAAGATTGGACATGTATTTTTAAAGTTACAGCGTATGTATAAAAACTGTATTTTTCCTGCCTGTGATAATTACATTAACCCATTGTGTTCAGTAATTACATCACAGGGAGAGGGGAGGATTTGTGTGTTATTGATGGGTGTGTTTTTACTGTATGTTACTTGTTTATTGGTTGTTCTGTAAAACCCTGTGGGTGGTCCTGTAAGACCTCCATAAAAGAAGGCTCTTTGGTGCCAATAAAACAGAACTACTTGACCCTCTAACTCGCAGCCTCGACTCGTGTTTGCAGGGGGCAGCTATAATCAATACAGGGATTGCTATGTTCTTCATACTCCCTTAGCTACTGAGCTCTTGTAAGAGCTCTTGTTCCTGATCCTGCTTCGCTCTACAGAAGGAAGAAGTTCACTTCACTGGAGCCTGGTCATAGGTCCAGTGTGGATAGCAGACGGCGAGATACCAGCCCAGCAGCGGTGGTTCGTGGAGTCTGCAGTGCTTATGGTGTCGGTGCAGTACTTATGGTGTGTACGGTGCTGATGGTCCTTTGGTGAGTCCTAGGAGCATTCTTTCTACGGTCCAACTTCCATCCAGCCTGGAGGCAACTGTAACAGCACGTGCGCGGCATTGACGCGCATGTGCATTAGGTCTCCCCCCGCCACCGGCCGCGCATGCTCAATAGCCCCCCCCCCGCCGTATGACGTCGGCGGGGGAGGAGCGTGGGCGGACCCTGACCCAGCGCCGAGGGACATCGGCGCTGGATACAGGTAAGTCACTGAAGTGGTTTTAACCCCTTCAGCAACTTGGGATGGGGGGTGGGAGGGACGGTTTGCTTTCCTGGCACTGGAGAGTCCCTTTAATCATAAAAGGAACGTTCTTCCCTAGTGTATTACTCTGGAGAATGAATCAGTAAATTGTTTACAGAGTAGTTCATTTAGTAAACAAATTGACTTTTTTGAAAAATACCTACAACACACACTACAAAATCACTTACCGAACACTCTTCCTCTGAGGTTTGAATACAGCCAGATTTGTCATTTCTTACACAGCATGCAGAGTGTTTCTCTTTTTCTCTTTTCGTTTGAATAAAACTGTGTACTTGTTGATCTTGCCTCATGCATGGTGAAAATTTGGCTCCAAGATGTATTAATGCTTCCTAAAATACATTTAAATATACATTTAACATATTTTAAAAATGCCAACATATTCCATAGTACTGTTATTATATAATGTAAAATCTAAACTACAATTAAATAAAATATTACATACATTATTAAACCTTAAGAGGGCAATTGTAGTGTCCAAAACTACTTTTGCTCTTTTTTTTTTTATAATTCTTAATTTTTTTGTGCATAGATTATACGTGGTGCATTTAAGCCGGCATTGCCAGAAAAGCTGGTGCCAAAGATTCAACAAACATTGAGAAACAATTGTGTGGCATGAGAAGTCATGCACATTTTTAAATTGTATGTGAGGTTTAAACGTATGAGGTGTACAAGAGAAATGACAATGATGAGACTAGTGAGTTCAGGCGTTAAGTACTGTGGTAGTGTTTAAGCGAATCTGCCTGGTCAGCGGTGGGCAATATACTTGAGTAATTAATAGTTGTAAGGATACTCCAGGTATATAAGGCATCTCAGGGTAAGACAGGATCTAGTCGGTAGGGTGTCTCCATGGCAGGCAACGTGTTGTCAGGCCCAGACCCAGATGGTCTCTGTAACAAAAAGCACAGTCTGACTGTAAAAGACATATGGATTATACAGCCGTTCGGTATTTTGTAAGCATTCTCCATGCAAATGCTTACCTGCCTTTAACAGGCCACCCTGACTGTTAATTATGTCCAATTTACCTCCCTGTTTGATGGGCACTTTTATTCGAAACAACCGCACGAACGCTATGGGAACTGTAAGCTCAGTCGCCATTTCGGGACTTCCACGTGTTCGCTGCCATTTTAACTCTCGAACAGCGGTGTTTGCCGTTGAATGTCTGGAACTAAAATCAGACACTCAAACAGGCGAACACCGCTGAGACCTCCATACCTTCGGGAAAACCTCGCCAAAACTACCGAACGACCGGGCGTTCGGAAGAAAGAATCAGCAGCAGATAGGGATTTCAGCGAACCCAGGATTTCATACGGATGGCCAGCCGTTCGAGAATTTTTACCCACGTTCCTAGACCGACTGCAGGGCCAGCATTCATGGAACTGTTTTCGGCTACTGTGCCCGTGCGGTCGGTCAAAACTTCTAAGTCCCATATATCCTGAACGGCTGAACCGATTGAGCTGATTTTTAAATATGTTGGTACCCTAAATGGAAGTCATCTGGGGATACCAAATTTATGTCTGTACCCCAAGTATTTGGGGTACATCCGAACTTTGGGGAAAATATGTTCCTTTTTAATTATGTTATGTAGTTCTCTGAGGGGAGGGGATTTACAGAATGTATATTGTATGGGTTGGTTGTAATGCTAATTATGTGGGTGTCTCCCTTGCATGGGCAGAATTGCATAAAAGGAGAGTGTCTGTCAATAAATCCTTAGTTCTTCTTGACCCTTCAAAACGTAGCCTCGTCTCATTCTTGAAAGGGGCATCTCTGCAGCTTAATCACTTAGCTCTTTTCAGAGCTGTACCTGGCCTCCACTCCTGATCCAGCAGAAGGGAATAGGTGACTCCATCACTACACAGCGACTGCCGGGAAGAAAAGGACGTCCCCAACGGCTGGTACCCTCACTACACCAGGGTAGCCGTTACAGTCTCATTCAGCATACACCGAGACTTGGAAACAGGTGAGTGTAGTCCTGAGATATTGTTGGGCAGGGGCATTGAGTTGTCGATTTCCAGCCCCAGGTCTTGTTTTCGGCACACATGGTGACTCAGCGAACTTTGTCCTTCCTAGGCCGCAAGCCTCCTGTGTGTGGTAAAGGGTTGAGGTGACCTGTGCTGGGTATCTCCGGTTTCCGTAGCCTCCTCCGGTCAAGAATTAGGTAAGCTCCGGTCCACAGGAGCGAGCTGTCAGACAGTGTATCCCGATTTTCGGCCCCTGACTCTGGAACACACTATCCTCCGGTTAGTAATACTAACAAGGCTAACACCGAGCTGGTAGCTGGGTTGGTACAGGTCAAGTCCAAACCCTCCCCACCCCCCCTACCAATTGGGCTAGACTTCAATGGTTAAACAATGCACAGTAATAAAAAGATTACTGTTGTTTAGCCTAAATAATCATAGTTATGATTTTGTTAATCTGTTATTGTATATGCTTTCTTTTGAAATTTATGTTCTGTTGGAATTTTCGAGGCAATGCAATAGGATCCGAAAAGACACTAGAAACCAAAGGTGGGACAGGGAAGATAGAGGTGGGAGAAAGGTTCACATCAATGCCCCTAGCTATGGGGAAGACCGCAGGTTCACCATATATATATATATATATATATATAATATATATACAAATGAGTGCCTTCTCTATCCTCACCCTTAACGTTTATGGCCTAAACACCCCTCACAAACGTAGGGTAACGCTAAGACCAAGAATAAAGCCATTGCGTGTTTACAGGAAACACACCTCTCACACCGAGACACATCGACAGTAACCTCCAGGAAGTACCCACAAACATACCATTCACGAGTGCCCAATAAAACTAGGGGAGTCAGTATACTGTTTCACAAAGATTGTGATTTCCAGTGTGACAAAGTATACCCAGACAAGGACTGGAGAACCCTTATTTTGGCAGGATCCTTGAATGAAGTTCCTATTACCATTGCCAATTTGTATGTCCCAAACTCTAATCAAATAGATTTTATAACGAAAATGCTCTATAAGATTCACAAGAAAAAAAAAAAAGGCATCTTTATGTTTGTGGGAACTTTAACTGCATACTGGACCCACCACTAGATACTACCACGGCAACACCGACGCAGGTGAGAAAACTACGATTACGCACACAATTTAGATCATTACTTTCTAAATATGACCTAATTGGAGGTGACTATTGACCCGATCACCTGGGCTGACCATGCCCCTGTAACAACTCACATACATACCTTATACCCGGTGAGGGGCAGAGGAGTGTGGCACATGAACGACTCGCTGTTACTTAATAAGCCAGATGTACACAAACTAGGCACCGACCTAACACATTGTTTCATATACAATTCGGACCACACTACCACAATAGCCACGAAATGGGTAGCTCACAAGGACGTCATGAGGGGACTACCAATAAAACTGGAAGCCACCAAAAAGAAAAGGCAAAAGGCGGTACTGAGTAGACTGACTCAAAGCATAGCAGAGATAGAAGCTCAGAACAAGGCTTACCTTTCAGAGAAACTAGGCAAACAATTAATCGAGGTCCATAGCGAACTCCACTGCATACAGTTACGCACAACAGAACAATACATGCTGAAACTAAAACAACATCAGTAGCTACAGGGAAATAAAGCGGGTAACCTCTTGGCATCAAAAATAAAACATTATGACAACAGGTGTAATGCCCCTTGAAATGCTGGAGGCAAACATTATAACCCTACCCAAACCAGGAAAACCCCCCAATAAATGCGAAAACTTTCGCCCAATTTCTCTGCTCAATGTGGACATAAAACTATTTGCCAAAACCATCGCCAACCGCATGAAGCCATTGTTACCTGAATTGATTTCGACGGGATATAATACACAGATTTCTGGATCTGGTTGAAATAATGAAAAGAGAAAAAAGGTCAGGTCTTCTGCTGGCATTAGATGCTGAAAAAGCCTTCAACCATCTACACTGGGGGTACATGACATACGTCCTTAAAAAATTTGGTTTCCCGGCTAAGTTCTTAACAGCAATATTGGCACTATACACAACACCATCCGCCAAAATCCTTAATACCAGCTTTTTATTTAAAATGTTTAACTTAACAAACGGTACCCGCCAGGCATGCCCCTTTTCACCGTTAATTTTTATGTTAGCATTAAAACCACTGGTGAAGCACATACAAAACCATGATAGGATCAAGGGACTAGACACAGCGGTAGGGGAACAAAAGATAGCACTATTCATGGATGATATTCTCCTATTGCTAACAAATCCTACAGAATCACTCCCCCAATTAATGCACTTATTAGAAACATATGGATCGGTGTCCTACTATAAAAATAACATCAACAAGATGCAGGTGCTGTATAAAAGGTATGGGAAAAACAGTAATAAGTGGTGCTGCTATCACTTAAGTGTGTATCACTCAACCACACAAAATCAAGGTGCATAAAAAATAGTAAAATAGTGAGAGCACACTGTACATGCAATAAATTATATTACCAGTACTTCACAAAGTAAATGGCTGAAACATAAAAAAGGAGAGAGAAAAGCACATAGGGTAATATTGTATACACTTTGTGTATTAACCGTATATAATTGGTTGCACTCACGTGGTTCTGAGTCACTTTAAAAGCTGACTCAGACTAAGGGCTTAAATCGGAGAAGAAATTCTTAGTACTGGACCACTTGTGTTGAAATATATGTTGAGATAAAGTTGTCTCTGGCAATCTCTAGATGTGTAGTAGAAATTACTCCAGGATACCCAATCTCGATCAATCTTTTAAGACTTTTATTCCATATTTAAAAAAACAATTAAAATCAAAAACAAGTATACTAAAGTCCATAAAATTACCACGACGCGTTTTGGCAAAAGCCTTTTTCAAGTGGTATTACATGTTCATCTCCGAGTTGCTCTTTTATATCGTATAGCGTTGGCGCTCTTTCCCGCGCTCACCGGCCATCTTCATTTCCGTTTTCGTCATTTACCATCGACGGACGTGTCCCGCACGTCTTGACGTCATCTCCGCGTCCTATACCGGAAGTACTCTCGCGGCCATCTTTACTACTCCAATTGTTTATATTTGCCAGTTCTCTCTGGCACAATCACAACAAATTAAAACGTCCTTTATACAGAATCCTTCATCCTAACAGGTTATCACTCTTACTACAGGAACAAAATAAGAAACCTTAATATATATTTAACAGGAGGAAATAGCAATTCTCAATACATAATATATCTTAAAACCTATATGCATAAAACAATAAAAACTGTAATAGATACACTCATTAAAAATGTTTAAATTCAAAATATATATATATATATAACTCTTTTGGATAGAACACAATTTTAAAAGAGGGGAGAGAAGAGAAGAGTTTATATTAAAAAACTTTAAAATAACTTTAAAATAACTTTAAAATAATCTCTATTAATTATAAGTATGTATTAACTTCAAAATCTATATTCAAACCATATGGAGATAAAGTCTCCATATTAAAAATCCATTTCATTTCAGTTTTGTTAAGGAGGTTTTCCATATTGCCTCCCCTCCAATGGATTTTAACAGATTCTATCCCCATAAAATCAAATCCTTGTGTATTCCCTCCATGGACTTCTAAAAAATGTTTTGATACATTATGCAAAGTATATTTCCTATTAATATTATAAATATGCTCTCTAATACGTATCTTAAGTTGTCTTGAAGTCCTTCCAATATATTGATATCCACAAGGGCAAGTAATCATATAGATAATATTCTTAGTATTACAAGTTATAAAAGATTTTATATCATATCATTTTTTGTTATAAAAAGAGTGAAATTGTTTGACATTTTTATTTTTGTAATTTCTTGTCATACAACCTTTACAGGTCCCACAATAATAAAAACCATTTTCT